TCTCCCGAGTAAAACAGTACCCCCCATGTACAGGTTTTAGGGTGTCGTAGAACGTTACAGGGTAAAATACAGTGCTAACAAATTAAATTCTCTGGAATTTCGGCCTGGGTTGGCAGGCAGGTCCCTCAAATTGCAATCAATAAAATTACTGAATTATGTAAAAATATTACATAAATACGCACGTAGAATTTAAATATATATGCATATTTATATATTTGAAGTCTACGTGTATATTTATATTATTATGTAATTTTGTATATGGACATATGTATATTTCGTATTTTTATTTATATATACATAGATTTATATACAAATTCATTCTAAGTGTATTTTGATATAAATATATATATATATAAATTTTAAAATAGTTAGAATAAAATTTCATATAGATATATAAAAAAAATTCAATTTTTATTTAAATTTTTTTATTTAATTTAATTACTTATTTATATTTTATAATATATATATACACAATATATATAATTATATATATTATATATATATGTGTAATTTAATTAAGTATTTTTATATTAATATAACTACATATTAATATAAAAATACACTTAGTATGGCATATATATATGATATATAGACATATATAGATATGTCTATATCATGTATACACATATATAATTTTTTTTTTTTATTAACATTAATTTTTTTTTTACTGATTTTACACTAGCAGGGAGACACATGGACACCTATTGTGACCATGTGATAGCTGTGTTGAGCGATCACATGGCCACAGGGGTCCTAATCCGGTGTGGGGAGACTGTCTGGGCTGCAGGCAGTCTCCCCACACCGGGAGCACCGCTGATCGCCGCCGGGGGAACGACGGCGATCAGGTAAGTAACTCAGATCGTTAGGACGGTTCAGGACCGCCATCGGTCGGCAACGCAAAAATGCCGATGACGGTCCTGAACCGTCCTCGGTCGTTAAGGGGTTAAGAAGGATAAGGAACCAAGGGACTTTGAAATCATTTTCTCCGGTTGAAGAAGCAACGGTGAAGTGGTGAAACGCGTTTTAGAGGACAGTTCCGTTTTTAAAAGGACACTGTTGCCTTTTTTATTTTATACTTTATTACAATAAATTTAACTTTTATTTTTATGACCTTATCCTGGTTCCAGAATTCATTTTAACAGATGGGAGTGCAGTCCCAAATCTGCACAACGCTGTGGAATTGAGTCACTAATACTGACTCCAGTTATTGTAAGTACCCACTTGGGAATCTGCTTTGTATATTAAGAACAGTACCAGCAATATTGCGCAATCGTGCGTGCTTTCATTCCCCCCTGCAGGACAAGAAATTTTGTTCTGATAATACGGGTGGGTCGCCTAAACGGACCCAGAAGCGATATACACCAGAGCTGGGTCTATAGCTATCTGTTTGTGAGTTTAAATATTATTGTATAAATCTCTGTAAAATTATATACAGTCTATACTATGTTTGGTTATCTTTTATAGATATCAACACATTTCTTTCTGGCACGCAAGGGAACACCCCTCAATTTCCCAAAGGTGAATAATTATATAATCTCCATAATACAAAAGCGCTTCATTCTTTTTACTGTACACTTTTCGTTTGTGATTTTAGAAGGTATCGCATGAATGCACAGCAGCTGTTTTTTTTTTTTTTTTAAATATCTATATATAGACAAATTAGAGAAGTGATAAATAAGCGCTGATCCTTATCCAATTTCTTGTTTTGCATCGTTCTAGTATCTTACAATATTGTCAGCACATCTGCTAGTCAAATCAATAAAGTCAAACAACCAAAATAGGTGAATGACAAATTTCATTCAAATTATATATCATGAGTTAATCATAGGGTATTACGCAGATGAAAATTCCATTGGCTCTCTATGAAGTTAAACAAAATATCACCCGAGATCCCTGGAGAGGGGGGATCTCAGGTCCTGGTATTTAAAAAGTGAGCAACTTGGATGGAACTTGTATATTAAGTACAGTAGGGAAATGCAGTTAGAGTAGCAGAATAAAGTAATCATTTATGAGATACTCATCCAGACTTTATTGTGCATTGCATAAGAGAACACCCATACACATTCATTAACTGCTAATTAAATTAAGGGATAACGTTTAGAGCAAAAAGTTATCATCCTCTCTGTCCATGATTGTAACCAAAAAACAAAATAGACTCCTACCAATTAGACATGTGATGCTAAAAAGAGCATAGATATAACTATATAATTGGGTGTGATTAAAATGGTATAAACACTCATGGAAAGAAAGTAATATCCACTAAACTATCAATTTGACTTAAAAGTGCATACATAGAGCATAGTAATTCGATGAGGCATATATGATAGGAAGCTTAGAATAAATGATTTGAAAAAAGTACTTGGGAAAAGTAATAGCCACAATGGCTCAAAACTTGTTAGAAAAGAGGTAGAAGTATTCAGTTAGAAATTTATTCTACATATAAGAAAATGAGCGCAGAGCATGATCATTTCAAGTCTCATCAATCCTAAATTCCTAAAAAGTAGGAGGGTGAACATAGTATAGTGAAGAGGCGGCTAGATTTAAAATAGCTTGTAGTAGTAATTTTCTTATACGCACTCTCAATATACTAAAATCTAGTCACCTGTAATCTAGGTTCACTGTGTATTATAGCGATCCTACACTCCTATTAGCCTCAATCTGCCTCAATGACTATGCTCAGTGCACTTAATCAATTAGTATCCCTCAATACCCTTCCATTCCCAAACCCAAACTAAATGTGAACAAACAAGTGTTAGTTCATAGTGCTTTTTGGTGCTTAATGCAGCACCTTCAAACACACACTCTGCATTCATTATATACACACGCTCTGCATTCATTATATACACACACGCTCTGCATTCATTATATACACACACTACACACACGCTCTGCATTCATTATATACACACACTACACACACGCTCTGCATTCATTATATACACAAATCACACAAACACACACTCTGCATTCATTATATACACAAATCACACAAACACACTCTGCATTCATTATATATGCACACACACTGCATTCACTTAGCACACACTACACAAACAAACTGCATTCACTATATATACACACTACACACTCACTGCATTCACGATACACAAACACACTCTGCATTCATTATATACACACTGCATCCACTACATGTGGCATGTATATTTTGTGCATTTACCTTTAGAAAGTTTATTTTTTCAAAATGGTAAATGTACAGAATATCAGTAAGTTATCGGCTATGAAAGTTCACAGATTATCTGTATCGGCTCTAAAAAAATAAATATTGGTCGATCCCTACTGGGCATACCCCCATTTTGAATACCCTGGGATGTCTACTTTTTCAAATGGTATGCAATGATGGGAGTAATTTTCATTTCTTGGCTGCCATACGGTCTTAAAGGCAGCCTAGACACAGCAAACTACATAAAACCTATACAGGGGGGTACCGTGGTGCTCGTGAGACATTACTCAACAGAACTAGGAGTGTTTCAGGGCAGTAAACTATATACCAACAATTTTATCTGTGTAAGTACAGTTTTTATGTGAAAAATGCAAAAAAAGATCTGAACAGTAACTTTGGCTAGGGTTTGTGCCCAAGTGGCTACTACAAAAGACTGGGCATACCCCATTTTGAATACCCTGGGATGTCTACTTTTTCACATGGTATGCCATGATGGGGGTAATTTTCGTTTCTGGGTTGCCATACGGTCTCAATGGCAGCCTAGACCCGGCAAACCAATCTGTCAAATTTCTATGTAGAAAAAAAAATAATTGATGTACAAGCCGTATATTTGACCCTGTAACTTTCCAAAAACCCATAAAACCTATACATGGGAGTTACTGTTTTACTTGTGAGACATTTCTGAATACAAATATATGTTTTATTGCAGGAAAACCAAACAGTATTCTGACATTAACCGTTAAATTGCCATGCAGAAATTAAAAATAAAATTTCTTAATTTTTTAAACTTTTTTTAGATTTTATTCATATAAAATGGAGTTCCATATATGAACATTCGATATGAAATAAAAGCTCTGTTTCTTCTTAACAAAATGATATATGTGTGGGTGCACTTAGTATGAAAGAGGTAAATTATTGTTGGACAGTCAAATTCTGTGGTTTGTTTACATTTTGTTTTGTTCACATCTTGTGCATTTGGCTCAGTCCTTAAGGGGTTAAACTCCATAATCTCCAGGCACAGGAAACATATATTTTCGTTATTTTCTTTCAAAATACCTTTCAGCACACACAATCCCTACACAAGTTGCACCCCCTGACAGCCCAGATCTGGGTGACCAACATATCCAAAAAGCACATAAATCACTTCAGGGGTTCAGGAATGTCATGGAAGTAATAATTTGACCGGTAACTGCTCGGTTCCCTTAGCCGAAAATAGTTCCATAGAATCCCAGCTAAGTGCTGCTGGAGACTGACCGGGAAACCGCAAAGTCTTCATGCTGAAAATAGTTCCAGGGCTTTGAAGTCTATCCTCGGTTTTGGTCCATGTGAACAGCCGCCAGGGAGCTAGCGTACGGTTCTACTGCTAACCTGGCCCATAGTCGGTGGGCAGGAGGCTGGCAGGCAGGCAGCTGGTAAGTTTACCCGGTGACCTCACAGAGGCTGATGGAACATTGAAGATGTCATCCAGCCCCAGCCTGGCAGGCTGCTGGTATCAAGTTTACACTGTGACATCACAGAGGCTGATGGAACATTGAAAATGTCATCCAGCCCCAGCCTGGCAGGCTGCTTGTATCAAGTTTACACTGTGACATCACAGAGGCTGATGGAACAATGAGGATGTCATCCAGCCACAGCCAGGCAGGCAGGTTGCCTGCTCTGCCCACGGAGGGCATCAAGCTTTCATCCAGCAGCCTCCCCTGCTTCTGGGACGACCAGGCTTAAGCCCCCTCCGCTGATTGCCCTCTTTCCGCTCAGGACTTAAGCCCCCTGCCTCTAAGAGCGGAGGAGGAGAAGGAGGAGCTGGTTTTGGAGGGAGACA